AACAAGCATTACGCAATCGAAATTAACACAGTTACGCATGCCTCAGCGTGAAAACTATGGTGAGTCCAGCAAAACGATTTTCATCGCATCAGTGTGTTTTCTTTTCACCATTTCTTCTTTCTCATTCTGGTCAGCATACGGGGCTGGTAAGTATTTGCTTTCCTGCCCGTATTACAACCTTGTCCTACGGTAAAGGCAATGAGTTGGTGCCTGGGAATGCAGTGATCGGTAAGCTTGTGATTTTGCCGTACAAGGGAAAATTGGCATTAGTTGGGTTTATATCTTCGGATTGCAGATTGAAAATAAATGCATAGAAACAACGGATCTGCTGAAGAGCACGTCGCAAATGAATGGCGGTCAAGTATACATTTTTTATGTGTATGATTCAAGAAATGATAATATACCCAAGGAATGAATTACCTAGACCGTGGCATGCTTAGTTCGGTTCCCTTCCACAGTACCAGTTTGATCTTTCGAACCGAATGACACAGGCATGACGAAACTGATTATGTTGTCCTTGTAGTACCGGGTAACACGTTCGGATTAAGGATAGAGTCTCAGAAATACATACCTCATTTCTCAAACGAACGAAGGCTGTATAAGATTACTCAGTTTGCCAGAGAGAAGACAGAGGTTGCGATATGTTAACATTTCGATTGTTCTCTTCAGTCTCAAACACAATACCAGCAAAAACACAAGGGATTATATACATGGAAAAAATAGGCAACACCAATCAAAATGTCACAGTAAAGACCATGGAAACCGAATTGATGGCCCCCGCCCTAACGCCAACCTACACGACAGTCCCGTTGCGACTCAGGCATACCAGGAGAGCACCTGTTCTTCATAACTGTCAGAGTATCTCGTCGGGTAGTTCGACCTCACACGTTGTTTATCAGTTCAACTGCGGTTGCGGTGACATTTAAATAGGCTGAACAAACCGTCAGTTAGCTCAGAGAGTAGCTGAACATTTGCCAAAGTGTTTGGGACAAGTGATCGCAACAACATGGGATGAATCTGAGAATCAATCGGAGCTCGGCATCATCTATCACCAAGCACCTCGTAACAACCCGTCATCACGTGAACCCCGGGACAACGTTCACATTGTTATTACTCAACAAAAACCCGCTAATGCTGGCAATTAGTGAGGCGTTGTTAATTAAGGTTTATCAACCTGTGCTATGTGCACAGAAACTCTTGAGGCAATCAATTCCGTTGCCATGGTCTTGACTGTGACATTTTGATTGGCGTTGCCTATTTTTTCCATGTATATAATCCCTTGTGTGTTTCTGCTCGTGTGTTTGCGACTGAACAGAACAATGGAAACGTTGACATATCGCAATCTCTGTCTTCTCTCTGCCTTAATGAAATGGCTGAAGGGACCCACTGTTTTAGTTAGTTAAGTACTGCCTAGCTGTACGTTCAACGCACACATATGGTATCGATTAAAACTTAACCAGCATAAACCGTCACATCATAAATACTGTTGTCCAGGTGCCCACTTTTCGTGTAGTTAAAGACCCACGAGATACTTTGAACTTTTTTCGCACTTCTTATGATTCTTTCGTCGATTTTTAAGTGGATGTTTTTGGTACGCCGATTGTTTGCATGACCGGTAGCACATAAATTTGGGGAAATATACGTAATAACTTGATTTTAGACTTTACGAGAATCATGCTTTACGAGCACAGGAGTAGCGTTTGTTACTAACGGTACTAATTTCCCGATGCAACTACCGAGTACTGCATATTATGTTGTGAGAGCAAGTAGAAAGTTTGACCACAACTCGATTATCATCAAAAATGGTAAATTAGGGCCTGTGACCAGACAATACTTAAATCGTTCTTCCGGTGCTTATGTAACTTTTATCAAAGTCTGAATCACAGTAACAACCGGTACACAAATGTGAGTTGTTAATGGACAACCGTTATCCGAATCGAATCATGGTGAAATATAAACACAGTAATTTATAAATGGCTGCACAGCTTTAGGCTCCATTATGTATTATGTCAACGAACAACGAACAATGAATTTATACGGGTTAAGAAGCGTTGATTTACAAGTCCCGTTTGATAGTTGGTGGGGATAGCAACATAACAACAATGATACTAAGGATAGTAAAATAGTTAATACTGTAAATATGATAATAAGGACTTATCGTTTGCTTCGTTGTAGTCCTGCGATCCACTTAGATTCACAACACCCACAGTTAACAACACATAATTCCAGGGTAAACTCCAGGTGTAGCATGGAGACGTAGTGTTAAGTAACAAAATGTAAGTGGGTGAGTGCATCGTCCAACCGTCTTTTAAATACTGTTAGTGTCGGTGCAGAGACGACCGATTCTGGGAGAGCATTCCACGGGTGGCGGACACGAATGAAAAAGAAATTTCTGCGGCACTCCAGACGACAGTATCGTTCTGCGAGTTTTAATGAGTGGCCCACAGGTTTGTATTGCTGCTGAGTTGCAGTAAAGGGCGGCACACATGATGTGGGTCTCGCAGAATCAAGTATGTCATAATCAGGTCGCCTCGTAGCCTGCGATAGCTTCCACTGAACAATCCCAGTCGTCGCAGCCTCTCCAGGTAGGACCGATTGCGCATTCTAATTACATTCTTAGATGCCCGGCGTTGTGACTGCTCCAGTACATTAAGGTCGTGTTTCAGCCATGGATGTCAGGCTTGAATTGCATATTCGACGTGGGGGTAAACATACGCACTGAGCATTTGTCGAAATATGGAGCTGTTTGTTTGTCCAAACGCCCGCCTCAACAGCCCGACGTGTTGGTTTCCAGTCTTCGAGGCCTTTTCGGATTGCCTGGAGCAACCCAAGTCATCTTGAACCAGAACACCGAAATCATCTTGGTGAGTTTATAGTTGCAGTACATCCGTTCCGAGTCGGTATGAGTAGCTGCTCTGATGTCGGATGGAAAGCACCTTGCATTTACTGACGTTGAAATGCAATAAGTTTTGGGTCGACCATTGATACACTGTATCTAAGTCACTTTGGAGCACATGTTGGTCGGTGTTCGCCTGGATCCTGTGCCAGATCTTGATATCGTCGGCAAATATTAGGAAGTTTGAAGCGATTCTTTGTGCAAGGTCATTAATAAACACCAGAAACAAACGTGGACCTAGAACCGAGCCTTGCGGCACACCACACTCGACTTGTATGGGGTCCGATAAAGAGCTCCGAACTCTGACCACTAATTGCCGTTGAAGTAGAAAGTTGGCGATCGAGCTTAAAGGAGGGTCTCCGATCCCGTAATGTTGCAGCTTGGATAGTAGTATCCGATGGTCTAGACGATCGAAAGCCTTGGAAAAATCCAGGTAGATCACATCAACACGTTCTGCAGCGTCAGCTGACTCGGTCCAACTACTGCGTGCCGTTGGTAAATTTTTCGTGCATGACCGCTGTCGACGGAAACCGTGTTGCTCAGGCGTGATAATGTCACAGTTTTCCAGAGAGTACATCAGTGCATCGGCAACTATGGATTCCATGACCTTGGCGAGTTTAGGAAGAAGGGATATTGGGCGGTAGTTGGAGGGATTAGTTCCGCTTCCACCTTTGTGAATCGGGGTTATTTTTCCAAGCTTCCTGTCGGACTATTCCAAAGGTTGGTTGTTCTTCTTAAGAAGCCTAGGAAGTGGCCTATTAAACTTATATGAGGGACTACTTTTTGCTAACATCACCGTGTGCTGCATGTGAAACATCGGTCGCAGTATTGGATGTCATGAAGATGTAAAACACGACAGGTCATAATGAAATGGACTTGAACCCGACAATAGGGCAAGGTGTATGGTTCCAGTCGCTCGTCTCCGCTTTCGTCCGTTAAACCATACCAACTGGGGAGAAGCTTGGTAGCGACGAGTATGGTGCGCATTATCTTCTGTGCGTTGCCTCGGTTGATCTGACATTGAGAAGGTGAGTTGTACTCGAGCATTGGTCTAAGTTTGAAACAGAAGAGGATAGTACGATCTGCTTCAGGTTGGTCGCAGAGTCTGAATTTCGGCGTCCAGAACGTGTGCCGTCCGTTTCATTGTTGAATGTTCCTCTTGGCCACGAGCCTCAGAGCTTAGTGTTAGAGTGCGAATGAAGCTGGGCCGAAAGATGTGGGCTGGAGCGGTTAGCCTTCGAAGGTTTAAGTTCTACCAATGCCATCCTTCTTCTGGAGCCTGAACACTAACTTAGCTGCGATAGCTAAAGGGCAAACGTCTGCAGACTACAAGTCGAGGCGTTTGATATCCTGCAATATTAAGCTGCAGCTATCGGGAGCACTTATGACCGTCCACATATTCAAATCATCCGAGGACCCACTGGTGGTGTGATAACTTTAGGTAACTAGTGAATATAATTCAGGAACAAAGTAGACTTAACTTTGTGCCTTTGGGTATGTTACCTTTGAAGAGATATCAATAGGTCGGATGATATTTGACCTTTGCTCTTTAGTTTTGTCCAGCGAACGACTGAACGATCTACTGCGTTAGCAGAACCGCGAACAAATATCTACGTTCCTGCATCCATGCGTATTCCTGAATCTTATTTTTAAAAATACATTATGGTAACCAAGTTTACGTGATAGGTGGATCGCCAAAGCAACAAACTTTCAACTGTTAACGGTAGTGACTAATCTCAACGATCCACGCATAAATACTTCTGCTGGTTTTGCAGCATTAGATGATGAAAATGAACGTAATAACAGTCAAAGAAATGCTGGTATAATTGTAACCAGCTGCGTTTATTCTCTTCTCTCACATTTGAAAGGATAACTCAATCAACCCTTCAATACCTGAACCATGTGGATAGGTTAAGCTTAGTACATTTAAGTGTTCCATATGAACTATCTACTCCAACTACCGTAACTCACCTTACATGATCATAACTCCCTTTATTAGCGGTTTTCTGCTGCAGTTGTCACCAGGCTGTATTTCGAAATTTTGACTAATTCTGTAATTTACTTTTGATTATACAACTTAAATTTTTTTTAAAATATTTAACAGGTAAACCAATTCAATGTTGGATACCACAGGAGTTTACTAGAGGTTGGGAAGAGTATGCGGAAAATTATTGTTGGGTGTCGAACACCTACTTTGCTCCTGTTCAAAACCGATTACCCCCCGTACCAGACAGAGAGATGCTCCTCATTGGATATTACCAATGGGCTCCTATAGTCATGGCTGTTCAAGCAATGGCTTTCTACCTGCCATGTCTAATATGGAGGCTTTTTATGGCGCAGTCCGGATTCAATGTACGCCGTATACTTCAGATGGCCTGTGATTCCAACGTGCTACTCCCTGAGCACACAATGAAAAACGTGCGCTTCATGGCCCGTTACATTGATGGTTGCATTTATCGACAGCGGGATTATCGTCGTTGTAGGCTGACAAACACCGTTGGCTATTCCCCCACAAACTACGCTGATGTTGGACAAATGCATCAATATCTTCCCATGCATCCTCCCAACCACCACCATCCAGGAGGGTTCATCCACCACCACCACCATCATCATCATCAGTCACCTCCATATACATCTCCACCGCACGCCCCTCCCATGTACACGAGTGCAACAGTTCCTGTGAATTTCCAAGCCGGGGCGGGTGGATACGGTGGTTTACATTCCTCTTCAGAAGGTCAGGTCAGAGGAAATGGTGATGCGAACTATATCGGGGGCATATCGAGGAGGGGGAGACGGGCAACCGCCAATTCCCTGCTGAATCGCCTACGTTGGCATTTCTCGGTAGGATCCGAAAAGGCTAAAACGAAGAAGAAGCTTGAGAACGCCGCAGGCGAGTGCCGAGGTGCTGAAGACCATCCAATGCTGGGGAGATATAAAGCTGAAGAAGCAAATTCATTCTGCGCGCCTTTACCGGTCAAGAGTGGTGCATATCGATCCAATGCGATTCACTCCACTGGCGAAAGAAGTGCCGGAGGTTGGGGATGCTGTGGAAAACGGCATGGAAATTACTTGGTCGTCCTATACTTCTTCATTAAGCTACTATACTTGACAAACATTATATGTCAGTTATTTATGATGGAGAAATTCGTCGGCAACAGTTACAACTTTTATGGCCTTCGTGTCATGGTAGACCTTATCAGAGGTCGCGAGTGGTTCCATTCAGGAAACTTTCCACGTGTCACCTTCTGTGATTTTGAAGCAAAGAAACTAGGCAAAAACCACAAGTGAGTAGCTTACTTGTTCCTCGTTGTTGCATATGTGTGTAAACCACATTGCATGCACCTGTCTCGATGCAGATCTGTTCGTTTACAAACGATATTATCCCCTTTTCTAGATGTCTTAGCGTGGTGCGTCGGTCATCATGTTCGGCGACGGTGTATGCAGAATCCATATGAGACCCCATAGCAATTAGTTGTGTGCTTTCATTTCGGTTTGTCTGCTTGTTACCAGGTAGCTACAATGTCTTCCTCTAGAATTTACACCTTGAGAAATCACGTTATTTTAAACACGTTCTGTTGTATGTGCACATGGATACAGTAGGTTACAGACCTAACCCGCTCCAGCTTTTGCATACACCTGGTTATAACTGCATAGATTGATTGGCCCCCTAACTTTGTAACTATCATTCTGCTGCTGCCTAGGTTTTAATTTCTCAACCATGCTCATGCCTATACGTGCACATAAAATATGGTCGATCAAAGTAGTTTAATTTTCGTAATTTTCGCGAACTAGTCGGTTGAATTTTTGGTAATTGACTGTGCGACAACTGCTCAGTATCACATACACTTAGCACATAAAGTATGCCGAAGTGTTGGGTTTAACCAACACCACCAGTGTTTTGAGCATGGTACAACTTGAGAGAAAAACTTTTACTGTGCCGCAAAAGAGTAAACATATAACTTACATCTTTTCACCTTAGCTTTTCTTTCTGGGATTATAGGGTTTCAGTTTTAAAATTAGTGACGTTATCGTATGGTGCACAAAATGTTTCATTCGGCTATCTCATTGCCTTAAAGATCTTCGTATGCATAACTTAGGTGAGGAAAAGTAATCATCAAGCTTGAATCAAAATATATGTTCTTTTGCCAAGGAACGCCTCCAGATAAAAAAACTTACGATTCGTAGCCTTACTGATCTCGTTTACCACTCGGTGCACATCAGACCGATCTTACCATCTTGAGAGACCATTCAGGTAATCATATAAAATGTAATCGAAAATACAAAGTGAAGTTTACAGTTCTCTTGAATAAGTTCAACGTAGCCGAAGAGTATTAGAAGTCTGTGACAATTACGCTTAGTTAGCAACCTTAGCTCAAATGTTCTGCAAATTCATCAATGGGAATGTGCTTGATACGGCGAATAATGCAGCAGATGTAACAAGATTATACGTAGTCTACCATAGGATAAACGCCAGCCTAAGTTACAGCGAGTAGGTAGTGAGGGCTTCTAGCCTTCTTAGAGTTAACCAAAGCGTAGTGTGGTGTAGATTCATTATTAGGTGGTATGTAAGTGCCGTCACTACAATGTTTGAACTACATCGAAAAACTTTGGGACCTAGCTACCAAAAGGTTTGACCTCGACCTACTATCGTTAAGGAAATAATGAACGGCCGAACTGGATTTTATGTGAAACCATTTTTGATACCATTTCTTCAACCTATGTACATTCGCAAAAGTCCGGCCGTCAGTGATGGCCCATTAACTTGAATTGAACGATACGTTCATACGCCGTTGGTTCCTTCTTCACGTACTACTTCCACACGTCACTTGTGTTAACAGAGTGTTTAATGTCGGTAATGCATAGCGGTGAACGCGATGAAATGAGGCTGTTGGCAATTAACCTGGCCATTGGATCATCCCAATGTGAACACCGGATCGGGAGAGTCACATTCCTCAACCATCGACCTCCGATGCAGCTGAGAGATCAATTACAACACGCATTGCCCAACAGATTTAATTAAATTTCAAAGCTCATTTGAAAACAACGGGGTAGAACTAGTTTAATAAAGAATATTGCAAGATAGATTACGACAGCACCAGCTGTGTGCAGCGATGTCCCTTTTAGTGTTTGGCTTACGCTACAAGTTAGCAAGGTGTTGCATTTACATACTGCATTGGGGTTTTTAGTTAACCAATCGAAAACCTGTGTAAGCATTGGCAAAGAATTGTGAAATGAGAATTTCGGGTTGACGGACAACTTAAGGTTGGCCACATAAGGGCGCGGCCCAAATGAAAAGATTCGCAACTGAGGTGGAATACAGCGAATATGAAAAGCATTAACGTATTTTGTAGACGAATAAGCAGCGGCGACAGCTGAACTTCAAACTGGATGCTTCTTATAAAGGAACTCCTGTCTAACCCAAAGATAGCTGAACACAGCTCTCTAGAAGTGGACAAAATTCCACCGAAATGGAAGTTAGGAGTCATCACTCCTATTCATAAGTGAGGTAGTCGCGCGAACCCAACCAATTACCGTCCGATGACGCAGCTTCATTTGCTTCCCCAGGTTATGGGATCAAACATCGCAGATGCGCTGATGCAGTACCTGGAAAACCATAGCAAAACGGCCCCGGAGCAACATGGCCACGCCAAAAGTACTCATGTAATACTAACCTATTAACTACACATAACAGTTAAACCGTATTAGTTGATGGTGGAGCGGGAATCGATGTCAACTCCCTGGACTTATCAAAAGTATTAGATCGTTTGACCATCGAATCATTCCTACAAGTTGCAGACTGTGGCTTTGGTGACCCCATCTGGGGAAGAATAAACAAGTTTACACAAACTTCTGTTGGAGGCGAAAGCCTGGGCATGTCTGCTCAAAACATTAGATGTGGAGCGTGGAGTACCACAATACTCAGTGTTAGGAACTCATCTATCCTCGGTTTTAATAAATTACCTATCAGAATCAACTGGTTTCGATTTCCTATTCTTCGCAGTCAATGTTAAGATATGGCGCGCGATCAGAGAACCGGACGACCACGAATAGCTTCAATGTGATTTTAACACGATTTCGACTTGATCACTTCAGAATACTCTACCATTCAATGTAGACGACTGTCGCATGGTTCAAACACGCCAGAGGTATGAATACAGGTATTAGTTTGGGGCATGTTGGTTGCAGACCGGCTCCCAGCAACGTGACTTTGTTGTGCTTGTATGGAGTGATCACAACTGTTCAAAGCCGACTGAGGCAGCTGCCAAAAGAGGCAACCAGCTCGTTCACCTTATGCAAAGGGCATTCCGGAGATTCGACCGATCATATTCCCAATGCTGCACAATTCGCAAGTACGCCTTCCCCTTGAATACGCCTGCCATGCTTGAAAACCTCGGTTGCAGCGTAACCTATAGTGCTGGAAGCAGCACATTGCAGGGTAAGAAAGGATGTCAAGGGCCTACGCAAGTGCTCTTACTAGCGAAAGCTGAAGTTGCTTGGAGTTTTCAGCGGACGCTACTGTATGCTACTCGCTGAGCACCCTACTTGTGTAGTAAATATTAAGTTACCCCAATCATATATGCCGCCATGTGCTGAGATATAGCCTAAGCTGAGTAAACAATAAAGCCATCTAGAGTGTAGACGGAATTAATTTTCTCTTCTGGATTTCCAACCCTAGAGCTTTCACCCAATCTCACTTTATCCTCCCCTATTTCGGACACTTTCGAGGAAATAATTGGATATTTCTCTAACTCCTAGCACTTTATTACCTAAGCTGCGCTATTGTGGATCATCTTAATCATGGCATTCTACTGGATTTTTGTATGATATGCACCCAGGGAGGTGGCGCATAAGTGAGCAGCCAAGTTTTATTTTTCTCACAGTTTACGTCAACCATCACTGCACTCAGGACTGTTCTGTATGTTTACATTAATTAGTTATTTGGTATTAACCTTGTTTCAATACATTTAACTCCATAAAAGCTCGGTAGATAGTTCGCATAATTCTGCTTTTGTAACCTTCAACCCAATAATCCTATAGAACTTGGCAAGCACTTACCTGCCAACCTATGATAAATTAGTGTTTAAGACCCCAAGTTTTCCGCGCTAATGAAACATTGTTTCCATGGTCAAAATCGAAAATAGCGCGAAATTTAGGCTTGGCCAACATAAAATTACGTGATTTCACCGCGTAGAAAAAATATGACGAATTCAGGGTACCACCATCCACCATCTAAACGAGGTGCTTCGTGCTACTGTGTGAAAGTTTGTGACGTTTGTCAGGCGCAACAAGTTTTGGGCACTGTAGCTCTGTTCAGCGTCTACCGAATTCACAGGAATGCATAGATAACGGCTCGCAATGTCTGTCATTTGTGAAGTTCTTTCATTCATCACACACCGGAAACCGTCCCTCGCCTATTTACCTCGCTCAGCAGACCAATCCTTGAATACGGCGCCTCTGCTTACCATCCGATAACCCAGTGGAAAACGAAAAGGCTGAAGAAAATACAGCACATCGCAACTCGAATGATACTCAGTCTACGCAAGCTTCCGTAAGAAAAACGTCATGAAACGCTCGGACTCTACACACTATCCTACCGCAGAGTAAGAAGTGACCTTCTTATGACCCATCGAGCCTTCCACTCCAATCACTTCGCCATACTGCGGCCAATAAATCACTGACGGGAACCCTGTAACACTCGAGAACACCGTTACAAACTCAGGGTTCCGGGCGTTGACAAGGTATCACAGAAGCTTTTTATAGAACGAAGAACCTTAAACTTATGGAATACACTACTAGCGGGACCAATAGAGGTCGATTCTGTGACGTCTTTTAAAACACGTATGGACGATTATTTCGGAAACTAGTGCTTTGGGGAACGGTGCACATACAATGCAAAAAGGCATCCTATACCTAGAAATAATGACACCAATACGAATTCCTAACCAAACACTACCGCTGACGACTCACATTTAAATGTTTTCGCTTTTTACTAATTCATTAGTTGTACAAAATTTTTCTACTTCTCTTAAACGCAGTCTTAGTACAACTAAGAAAAAACCAGCTTGGAACGTTTCACCGAACTGCTGTTAACCCACGCAGCAAACATTAAAATAAATAAATAAATAAATAACTTGTATATTCCTAGACGACGCGAGAACTTGCTTCCTAGATGGAATAGGGCAAATATTGTTACATCCTTCTCATGCCATTGCATTAGTAATTGTTCAAAAAATTAGGCGCAAATTTTAAATTCAAGTAACAAAGTAATCAAAATCGTTCCACT